TTAGACTAGTCTTTTAGGCTGTATATCTTAATTTCTTTACTGTCATATTGTATAATCAGACTATGGCTGACAGTTGAGAGGCATACAGTTGAAATGCATCCCACTGTACTCTGCAGGTGATGTGACGTCTGAACAAGTATGGGAGAGAAGGTGGGTAACGCGGAGGTGTTGGTGGGGGGTACATGGCACCAGGCTCGCCTCACACTCGAGGGCGACCTGCTTTTTGTGACACTCACGGACCTCGACGACCTCAACCTGCAAGGCTCAGATGGTGAGGGAGGCCCCAGTGATGTCCCTGAGCCAATAGCCAGCCAGAAGCGGGTCGTTCAGATATGCAAGTCGGACAACAATGGCCTCGGGATATCCATTAAGGGTGGACGCGAGAACAAGATGCCCATCCTCATTTCCAAAATCTTTAAGGTAAGTTCAGTCAGCTGTTCATTAGGAATAGGCTGCTATGATTTATTAAAAGCATGCAATTTGCCTAACTGTTTATTTGGTTTATATGTGAGTAGTAATTTACTAATGTGGTTAAGACTGTTAAGGAAATGGCTATGATTTTGATATTTTATTAATTAATGTATTAAGATTACTGAAAAAGTTGAAGTCTGAGAAACTTTAGCTGAAGTAACTAGGATATGTGTTTTAGATATATACTTTGAATTATCTTGTTTGGAATGTTGGTAATGAACTGCAGACATTAGAATTCTAATGAATTGGTATGATTGGTTAGAAAGTATATTTTTGCTGTAATGTGTCAAGTATATATTACAGAGTGTCAAATTTGGAAAAAGTTGCTACAGTTACCCTGACATTGAAAGATAAGATACATTTATCCTTTAAAGCAGTAATACATGCATTTATGTGTGTATAAGTAAAAAGATGATTAAGAAATCAGGAAGTGACTACATTATATATACACAACACTATATCTTGTTGAGTGGAAATGGAGTATGGGAAAATACAAGAGGTTTAGCTTATTGGAATATGCCATACAGTCTCTTGTTCCTCTAACCAGCCTCCCTTATAGGTTAACTATCTTTCAAATACACTGTGCCAGGCTGGTATCAGAGTGCTTTTTGTGTAGTTATAAGTGCATAGTAATATATAACAAAAATATCACAGGTTACTTATCATCACTATCCTCGAAAAAATGGTTCTGGGATTGGGGTTATGGGGTTGGTATCATGGATGTGGTTGGAGGAAGCTTTCTTAGACAGTACTAGAAGTAGTAGTTGAACCTGAATACCTGTCATTCATAGCTAAGAAGAAAATAGAAAAGTAGCCAGCTCATTTTTGACAGCTTGTACAAGAGGAATCCATCCTGGTGAATTAGGCTCACAGCTTTGCAGTGCAAGGGAAACATACTCTGTTTACGCTCTTGTTAACTAAATTTCAAAGTGTGTATTATCAGTGGTTTGTAACCCCAACCATTCCTTGCACACAGGATTGATTTAGCTCATTTTGAATAAAGTCACAAGAGCATTGGCCCCAAACCTCAAAATTGTTACTTATTACTTGTTTTTACATCGAACATTCAGCAGACCATTTAAATTGTATAATGGTAATATGACACAAGGTTCACATCACCAGAAGGAAATTTTTGATGCCATGATGTGAACATTACATCACGCAGATGTAACAGTTTAACCCCAAAAGTCCTTTTTGCCACAATTCTGATTATTTGTACAGTGTGCAACCAACCCTATTAACCAAGTGTGTGGTAGCTCTGTCAAAAAATTGGCTAGATTTTTCCTGCAATTTTTCCATTATGAATGAGACATATCTAATGTCTAATAATATAGCTGGTTCTGTGTGGCAAGTCCCTCTCAGCCACACCTATGATGCCACCCCCATACCCTTACTCCCTTTGTATTCCCCCCTCTGTCTCCTTGTGAGGGAAATGCAGTAACTGGGGAGTCATCATTCTGGTGCTGGATGGCATAGATATATCATCCTGCCAAATCCTACTTCTCTTCCTCTTCCCACATTCTCCCTGCACACAACATACTATTATGTATCACAGATAGGAAGGAGAAGAGAGGAGAGGAGAGGGAGGATGAAAAAGGAGAGGAGAGGGAGGAAGAAAGAGGAGAGGAGATGGAGGAAGAAAGAGGAGAGAGGAGAGGAGAGAGAGGAAGGAAGAGGAGAGGAGAGGAGAGGAGAGGGAGGGAGGAAGAAAGAGGAGTGGAGAGGGAGGAAGAAAGAGGAGAGGAGAGGGAGGAAGAAAGAGGAGAGGAGAGGGAGGAAAAAGAGGAGAGGAGAGGGAGGAAGAAAGAGGAGAGGGAGGGAGGAAGAAGAGGAGAGGAGAGGAGGAAGAAGAGGAGAGGAGAGGGAGGAAGAAAGAAGAGAGGAGAGGGAGGAAAAAGAGGAGAGGAAGGGAGGAAGAAAGAGGAGAGAGGAGAGGAGGAAGAAAGAGGAGAGAGGAGAGGGAGGAAGGAAGAGGAGAGGAGAGGGAGGAAGAAAGAGGAGAGGGAGGAGAGGAAAGGAAGGAGAGGGAGGAAGAAGAGGAGAGGAGAGGGAGGAAGAAAGAGGAGAGGAGAGGGAGGAAAAAAGAGGAGAGGAAAGGGAGGAAGAAAGAGGAGAGAGGAGAGGGAGGAAGGAAGAGGAGAGGAGAGAGGAGGAAGAAAGAGGAGAGGAGAGGGAGGAAGAAAGAGGAGAGGAGGAAGAGGAAAGGAGAGGAGAGGAGGAAGAAAGAGGAGAGGAGAGGGAGGAAGAAAGAGGAGAGGAGAGGGAGGAAAAAAGAGGAGAGGAGAGGGAGGAAGAAAGAGGAGAGGGGAGGGAGGAAAAGAGGAGAGGAAAGGGAGGAAGAAAGAGGAGAGGAGAGGAAGAAGGAAGGAGAGAGAGGAGAGGGAGGAAGAAAGAGGAAGAGGAGAGGAGAGGGAGGAAGAAAGAGGAGAGGAGAGGGAGGAAGAGAGAGAGGGAGGAGAAAGAGGAGAGGGGAGGGAGGAAAAAAGAGGAGAGGAAAGGGAGGAAGAAAGAGGAGAGAGGAGAGGAAGGAAGGAAGAGGAGAGGAGAGGAGAGGGAGGAAGAAAGAGGAGAGGAGAGGAGAGGGAGGAAGAAAGAGGAGAGGAGAAGGAGGAAAAAAGAGGAGAGGAGAGGGAGGATGAAAAAGGAGAGGAGAGGGAGGAAGAAAGAGGAGAGGGAGGAAGAGGAAAGGAAAGGAGAGAGCAGAGTAGGTTAGGAAAGAGGAAGTAGGAAGAGGAGAGGAGAGGGAGGAAGAGGAAAGGAGAGGAGAGCAGAAGAAAAGAGAGGAGAGGGCAGGGTAGGTTAGGAGAGGGGAAGGAGGAAGAGGAGAGGGAGGGAGGAAGAAGGAAGAAAGAGGTTGAGGAGAGTGAGGAAGGAAGAGGAGAGGAGAGGGAGGAAGAGCAGAGGAGTAATGAGGGAAGAAGAGCAGAGGAGAGGAGAGAGAGGGAGGAAGGGGAGAATGGAGGGGAGGGAGGAAGAGCAGAGGAGAGAGAGAAATTGGAGAGGAGAGGAGGAGAAAGGGGAAGAGTAAGAAAAGGAATGGAACAAAGGTGGTAGTGGTGATTATGAAATAAAATAATTAATAATGATAATAATGTTGATAAGAACTAGGATAATGATGGCAGTAGCAGCAGAAGTCATGAGGCTTTTTTTCTGTAAAAATATGGCCTGTTGTTATATCCATTTAAGTCTCTTGTGGCTGGTTGTTTTGTAAGTTTTGCAACCCCTCTGTTAATGATGCAATGTTGCCACAGTCCTGATTATGTAATGTTACAGCAGAAAAATGCAGATTGCACATATTTTATAAACAGATTAATATTTTATTCTAACTCTCATCACAATGCACAAGGAAGATTGTGCAAGTATGCACAGAAGTAAATCAAAACAAATATATACATTGTTGCTTCTGAATTCATGGTTTTGTATGTAGATATGAAGCAGAATAGCACTGTACCTTTACATACTGGATTGATATAATGTAACTTTATAGAAAGTATGGATTTTGTTTTCCTGCCTGCATGTAATACAATAAGTTAAAAGATCCTACAGACCAGGGGAGTGCCATTAAGATTGTCAGCTTTGTTTTAAGTTTTTAAATAGACATATGATGGGAGGATGATGTTGTTTCATGGATAGTGTATGGTGTAGAATGTGATAACATTGCTTAACATTTTTACTGCTCAGAGTTTAAGTTTATAGCCATATGAACCACAACATCTGAAGATTTTTTTGCCCCCTCTTTAAAGGGAGTTTTCTTGCTGTATAGTCACTGACAGTCTTTTAAAATATTTTCCAAAGACCATGATATGGAGAAATCACTAATGATTTCTGTTATTATTATTATGTTTTTATTAAATCAGATTGTAGTTTATTAGTTTTTACTTTTTTCCTGAAAGTCAAGAAATATTTTGACTGTTACTACTTTTATTGTCAGTTTAATTTTCACTGGTCTGCTTTTAACTTTCCTTTATAATGTTCACTATAGGACAGTAAGTTAGTTAAATGGTATATTATAAGGCTCATTCAGTACACTCACAGGTACAAGTATTCAGAAAGATGCGTCATAGTAGATACCACCCAAGAACAAGGGGTTAAGTGAATGGCAACTCTCCCGGGTGTGTGGCTTGTAGGCTAGCCACGTAAATATGCAGAATGAAGACTCCTTGCCTCCCTTGTCAGTGTCATTGTCTCATTTTCTACACAAGTGTTTTTTGCTTCTTTGACATTTTCCAAGGTCTACAATTGCCATATCAAGATGGTAATAGAATGTTTTCCTTGCACAGACTACACATTATCTCTAGGTAGTCTACAACTCTGTAATATCAATAACAATTAGTAATATTGTGTTATTTGTGTCAGTTTTTTTTATTTTTTGCTATTCAATTTTCTGTGAAATATCCCACACTGCCCTCAGCCAAGTTTTTCCACAATGTCATATTCCCATCACCTTTCCCTCAGCCATCAGTTGCCTGGATCCAATGGGTTTAAAGGAAAAGCAGATGGGAGGAAACCAAAGGTCCTCTACCAGATTTTTGGCAATTTCATGAAAGTAAATGTACTAGGCAAGGCACGATAAAGAGTAAAATTTTGCTTTGAGAAACAATTTGGGTATTGCAGCCTTTAATACAATAGATAAAATCTGGAAGACATGACCATGACATCATGAAAAATTTGGCTTGAGGGGCAGGTAAGATGAATATGCTGTTATGAGAGAAAGCTCTTGGAGGGTCATTAGACTCATTTGATATTTAGGAAGGGGCTTTTGCATTATTTCCATGAATAAATGAGTGTGTATGATCAGTCATCCACAAATGGAAGAGCTCCGGCTCCAGGGAGGATGCTGTTTCTATGCCCAAGATCCTGTTCCTGGCCACTGTGACTGATGGCACTGGTTGTATTACAGAAAATTGAATTTTATGAAGAAAGAACACAATGTTATTTATTGTTATTATTACTGTACCGAATTGTGGATCACTTAGAGAGATGCTATGGAGTATATAAAAGGAAAACATTCTATTACCATCGGATAAAGCAAACCATATGACAAATCTAGACAATGGAAAGTGGCCGAAAAGATAAAAATGCTTATGCAGAAAAAGAAAAAAAATAATATTGCTAAGGGGGGGGGGGGTGTCATGGAGTTTGGCTGTGTGTGCTCGGCCAACAGGCCACACATCCATCAGAGTGGCCAATCAAGAAGCCCAATACTCATATTTTGAGCCACTTGATTGGTTAAGAAATCATTGAAAGGGAATCTTGGTAAAAATGTATGATAGCAATGAATGTGTAAATAGATATATAAAAGGAAAAATATAAACAAGTGATACTGGTGATGATAATATATAGTATAAGTGAATAGATAAATAAATGAAAACAAAATTATAAACCTTTGATACCTACTCATTAGATAGATAAGAATGATAAAGATAGATAATCACCGCTCCTTTCTACCCTAGGGAATGGCTGCAGACCTGACCGAGAACCTTTACGTGGGTGATGCCATCCTATCCGTCAATGGCGAAGACCTCAAAGAAGCCACACACGATGAGGCCGTCCGAGCTCTCAAACGAGCAGGCAAAGTTGTTACACTAGAAGGTAATGAGTTTGGTTTTCTTTTTATTATTCAGTTTTTTTGTTTTTTTATTTAGTTGTGTTTGGAGGTAGTTGCTAAATGTTTCAAATTATTATTGTCAAAGGTAAAGACTTCAAATTTCACAGTAGTATATTATTGCTTTGGATTTTATTGTCAGTGTGTTTTCTGTTATCATTTTGTTGTTAGAGTATTATGAATGTATTTTAGGAATGTAGTAGTTTCTGAAAGCCTATGGAGATCTTTTGGTTGTAGATATGTATGGTTACAAAGGCATATTTATGAAGTAGATGTAAGAGATATTTAAAGATATTTTTGTTTTTCAGAGTTGGATATAAAGTCATTTCAGCGTAAATTTCTTTTAGTTTTTAAGTAGCTAGATGTTATTTAATGTTTTTTTTTTTCACTTTCTTATTTTTATTTTCATATATAAAAGTATCAGGTATGTGATCTCCCTTTTTTCCTGAATGCTCTTGAAAGACAAACATGCAACGGACATGATTTGAAAACATGGTATGAGATCTGTTTTATTTATTTTTTTATTTATTTGTTTATTTTAGCATGTACTTCTTCAATATCTAAACCAAAGCATGCACTGAAGTCTAGGGAATGTGAGGGGAAAAAAAAAGCATAGTTAGCATGTACAGCTGAGCATGACGAAGGCACTGCGGCTCGTGCACTGTAGGAATGGCATGGTAGATCTTGTATGTGTAGATACTTAGTTGTCCAGCCCAGCATGATGGGCCGACACTTGATGTTAGTGTGAATATTGCACAGATGTTGTTGATGTTTTCCTGCCATAGAAAATAGCGGAGAGAGAGAGTGAGAACAGACTTTGTCACTGTGTCTCTGTCTATCTACCTGTTATCAATCTGTCTGTTTCTCTCTGCCTGGCAGTTGGTATGTCTCTGTGTCTGTTTGTGTCTCTGTGTCTCTGTCTCTCACCCTCATTCTCTCTTTCCATTTCTCCTCCTCCCCCTCCCTCCCTCCTTCCCTCCCTCCCTCCCTCAAGCTACTTCTCTTGAGAGAGAGAGAGTGAGTGAGTGAGTATTTGCTAACTACTTGATATACCTTTTGTCTTATATTTTCGTATTTGTTTTCTTTTCTCGCTCCTTTTTTCAGTGGATACAGTTGAGTGAGAAACATGAGAAAAGCAAACAGTCAGAAATTGAGAAAAGAGAGGCATATCCATTTACATGAAGTTACACATTTTTTAAGTTGTCTTCACTTAAAGGTTTCCCTTACAATTTATCACAGATCAGGCTGTCATGCAGATAACCTGCAGACGGGTATGACTGTGCAAAGGATTTTTTTTTTTCTTCTTCTTCTGTTTTTTTTTTATATGTTAATTTTATGTTTTATTTAAATTTCTTTTTCTGAGAGGATGTTTTTATCTTAATTTTTGTTTTATGTTTGAATTCAATTTCTTATTATCAACAAGG